GGCTACTCAAATATTTTACGTTTTTGATACTAAATTAACATCTGAAGTATAATTTTTTATTGTTTTTATATTTTTCAATAAATTTATTTTGTTTGTACAAAATAAAAAAATAATTTTTAACGATACAATAGTCTTTGTTAGGCTCAACATCGACGAAAATTCAACGCGAAGCGACACGCAGCGGAGAAAAATTTTGACATCGGATACGTTAAACTATTTTTTCGTACGTAAATCAGTTATCCAAAATATCAGTTATACGAACAACCCCAGTCCCCAATTGATTCGGAAAATCGACGCTCTACTGTATATACTTGTGGCCCAATATACAAGTATACTAAAGGATTAGCATGTCTAGATTATAATAATATGTATTAAAACTTTATCAAGAAAAAGGATATTTTAAAAAATTACTTTTACAGACACTTTCAATTTTTACTTAGAAATAGACAAATTCGTTTACTATAAAAAAGACAAACGAAAATTTATTTGAAAAAGACAAATATTTGTTTTATTTGGGTCTCTAATTAATAAAAAGCGACGAAACACCATTTTAAAGTGCATTTTTATTCAACTAATATATAAATAATATGTAGCCCAAGAAATAGCCAAAGCGACAAATGATATTTTTTAGGTCAAACCAAAAAAAAGTAGCCACATTTGGCGCAATGTAGCGAAATCTTGCAACGTTGGAAGAAATACTAAATAAAGCTGGAGTTTTGACTCAAAGGATTATAGACCAAATGCGGGGAAAGGAAAGAAAAGACAAAAGATAAAAAAGTGAGAAAGGTTGGAAACTTAAGGGTCAATATTTGCATAACAGAAGATCTATTTAACCTTTCTCACTACTTTTTATCTTTTGTCCTTTCTCACCTTTTCCCAAATTTGTATCTATAATTCTTTGAGGCACAACTCCAGCTTTATTTAGTAATCCTTCCTTATTCACACATCTCCAAGTATTTGAAAATATTTCCTTTCCACTCAAAAATAAAATACGAATAAAGGTTTACGGAATAAATAAAAAAATTAAAACATTTGTTGGTTTTGTTTACACGGTTATTGGGCCGCATTGGAACTTGCCTTGGGCCGCATGCGGCCCGCGGGTTGGACACCCCTGGTCTAGATGATGAGAAATCTTTTAACATTGAAAAACTCTGTAAAGCAGAAGTAAGTCAAAAATACCAAATAAATAATTGCTAATGGCTTCAAGAGTAAATTAACATCTTTATTGAAAGCATACCTTCAATTAAAGGTGTTTGTAAAGTTGAATAAGTAAAAAAAAAAAAAGTAGAGAGATGGCCAAAAGTACTAATTCTGTTCAGTGTGCACTCTCTATGATGACAATATTTCAAGTAAAACTATAACAAAATACAAAGGAAAGAGTTAGGGTAATAAGACATTTGGGCAAATAGAGAGGACACGCAAAGCAGATGGAGCAGGCAGAATTGCATCAATGTATATGCACTTGGTCATATTTGAGTGGCAAACTAAGTGGAATTTAGAACAAAAAAAAAAGACTTAAGTATTCAGATGATTTTTCCTGGCTGTTATGTATACATAACAAAGGAAAGTAATGAAATCATGTCAAATCTGACCTTCCAAGTTTTTTGCAAATCTCCACATTTTGAGATCCCCAAACCCAAAAAAGTCAAAAACATTCTGTGAATATGTATGGTGTTGGTGTCTATTTCGTTTAATATTTCAGATGTGGTGAAGATTAAAAAACAAAATTTGGCATGATGGCTTGTATATGAGGGGCATTGATGCTATTAAATTTTGTTGATGCAAAGTCGAGAGGGAGGGGAGATAGAGGATGGTCACGTGTCATATCTTGTGTGGGGTTGGGCTTAATAAGATTTTATTTCTTGTTAGCATTTACAGACCTTTATAAAACTCATCTCTAGCCTCAAAATAAGTACTTTGTAATTTTATAATAAATAAAAATATATAAAGTTTTTAAGCAAAATCTTGTAATAGATGATGCTACATAAATTTTATTTATTATGATTAATAATTAAAAAGCAATTTCTAAAATAAAATCTCATAACAGTCAACTTAATAGATTTTTTTATACGACTAATGTCCATAAACAAGCTGCCTAATGTTAGATGATGATGTAAATTATATAATTATTTGTATTTTTACTATACAGAAATTAACAATGCATATGAATTAATTGTTTTTTTTTTCCAATTAATAAATTTAAATATATAAAATTACTTGTCCTGACTGTCTAAGTCACTGATTGATTCATCATTGCCCAGAGCAAACCGTTGAACCTAGAGGTGAAATTTAGTACGCAGTTAGGGTACGTCATGAAAACGCACCCTAAGAAGGGATTTTTCGAAATTCCCCTGCGGGGGGAGAGGGAGAAGATTAAGACTTAACCAGAAGAACGGCTTCTACTGTATAATTTTAGATGCGATTTTTTGTTTTCAACTATGTTTAGTCTTCATTGAGTACTTAGGTCTATTAAATTGATAGCATTTCTGACATTGTTATAAATATTTTCATATACAGTAATACCCTGAACTTACGTGATAGGTGGGACCGAGCGATAACCACGTAAGTTGAATTCGCGTAAGTCGGGGTATAATTTCGCAATTTGTGTAAAATCCAAGTTGGATGTATGTAAGCTAATAAATGTTCTCGTTAATCTTATCTCGTCTTTTGATTCGTTTCCGGTTACAAGAAATCGCCACATAAAATCTCTCAAGTCTCTGTAGATATAACAAACACAGAAATAAATAACACAAAATAAATTGTAGCTATGTGTCGATTCCGCATGACACGTCCGAACATGTAAGCTGAACAATAGTGTGGGGGAGTGAGTAATCAAGAGTTGTGTGGCGCTCAAACAAAAGACGAATCGACGAGATTTGAAAATCGCGTAACTCCGGGTTTGCGTAAGTCAGGGTAGCGTAAGTCAAGATATTACTGTATTTCAGTTTTTTAACCAAATGTTCGAACTGTTTTAAATTTGAATTTGTTATTGCATATTAGTTTGATTATAGAATGATTGTAAATGTTCCAGAAAATTGATCAAATTGAAAATAGTTTGTTTGATTCTCAGCAATTCTCATTATTTTCAGCAGTAGGTATTATATAACAATTACTATGGTTGCTGAATTACTGATATAAATGGAGTTTGTTTGCAAAACCCCCAAGGGCAAAGTTGGTAACATCTAGTAAGCTAATAAAACTATAAGCATGTATCCTAAAAATCTGTACAGATTCAATAGCATTTTCTGGTAATTTCAAATAATTGCACATGCATACATTCTTTCTAGAATGTTCTTGATTCCATTTATTGAAAAAGTTTACATAAATAACTTTCATAACTTGCACTCAATCAAGTTCATTTAATACTATTCTTTTTAAAAATACAAAAGAAAAAAATTACTTTAAAAATGGACGCATTAGATTAACTTGATTAAAGGAATATAATTGGCAGACTTCATACTGAAAATTGACAGAAGTAAATGTGCTGGTAACAATCACTATTTCACCAACGGGACAGATGTGGTTCCTAAAGTCAAATTCAAATGACACTCCAAGTTTACCCAAAGCTTCAGGTTTAGCTGACAATCAGTCCAAAGGGATGTTTGCAGATTATTCTCCCACCATGGCTCTTCATCATTAATTAAAGAAGTGTATGTCAACAAATGCATTCAGAAGAGGCTAGTATCCTTCCTAAATAAATACAGTAGAGCGTCGTTTATCTGAAAAAATTCCAGTCGGCAAATTTAAATTTTTGCTAGTGCTCTGNTCAGAAACAAAATATTGAAAACTTGCTGGACTGACTTGATAATAAATGCACCTAGACAATCAAGCCATGTCTTTTAACTCACAAGGTGTCACAAGTTAAAAGACATGGCTTGCGCCTTCTAA